GTTGGTCCAAAAAATTAAATGAGAGAAGAAGGATAGTATTGGATGAGAATTGAATAAAGGGTTGGAAACGTCCCTACAAAAATAATGTTCTTGTTACTGTTATAAGTCGGCTTTGATAATTTACGTTTAACTCCCCTCAGGGTTGCAAGGCGTTTTGTACAAAAAGCCGATTTATAACAGTAACAAGAACATAATTTTTGTAGGGACGTCTCCAACCCTTTATTCAATTCTCATCCAATACTACCTTTCTCCTCTCACTTAATTTTTTAGGGGAACGTATGTAGCATCATAACGTACATAATTTTGTTAAAAAAATAATTATTCAATTATGTTCTTTGTTGCCATATTTTTACTACGCAAACTGGAAATTTGATTGCCAATAAGATCTTTTTCAAATTTTTCATGTACTAAACTATTAAATAAATTAATATAAGGACCCTCGAGATTCAAATATAAGAAAAGTCAGGACCGTCAGGGTCAATGCAGATCCTTATGCGTAAATTTAGTACATTAGTCCGTAAATTATCCGGACGTTTCGGCTCACATTTGAGCCGTCTTCAGCAACAATGAAAGTTAGTCACACGTTTTTCGTGCCAAAAGACGAATTTACTGATTCATATGTCAGTGCCCTTTGGCACTGTATTTTCAGAAAAATGTGCCTGCATAGAAACGATAAATTTATTTAAAATTATTTTTTAAATTATTCTATTTAAAAAATCTATAAAAATTGTAACTTAATTAGTTTATCTATTACATATGCTACATACATATGCGGCGAGCTAAATGATGGCCATGAGAATATCGCCCAGGCAGGCGATATGATGAGTCTGGCAACGCCAGTGCAGAACGTGATAAAGCCGGTAGCGGTCAGAGAGACGGCACTAATTGACATCATAAAAACAAATTTTAGTAAATATACTCATTTATTAAATATTACAAAAATTGTATTATAGGATAAACTCTAAAAATAGTGCACATACATCTAAGAATTAGATAGTATCTAACATTTTTATAGTAGATTTATTTAATTTCAGCTACAAAAAGCCAATCTAACATTTTTATAAAAAAATAAGTTATTTTAACGATATATTATGTCATCGATATTATTTTTTTTTAATTAGTCAAGACACTTACTTTACTATATATAATAATGATTAAATCATCTTTATTTTATTATCATATTATTATGGGATTAGATAAAAATAAATACGACTATTAATAGTTTAGTAAGTGTAATCTCTATTGGCAGTTTTCGCGTAAGGAATATATATAATAACGTCCTAAATAGCACTTTGTGCAAAAATAAAATTTTAAAATACTTCGTGGTCCAATATTTAAAGCAAATGTTCGATATATTTCATGGTCCAATATTCAACGCAATTGTTCGATATTATGTCTGAGTTAGCTCGTTGCATTTCAATTTCAAGATCGCATTTTCCTGTTTCAAAAATTCAAGCTCTTCTAATTTATTCTGCAGGTTTTCGTTTCGCATTCGTAAAGCCATCAACTCCTGCTGTAACTGCTCATTCTCCTCAATCAGGGCTCTCATTCTAGCCGACTCCTTGCTGGGATGCATTTCTTTAACCAGATCATCTGTTTGGTTCAAGAGATTTTTTATCAATGTAGCTTGGGAGTTTATATGTAGCTCCTGCATAGCGCGTAAAATCTTTGTGCTTTCCTGCTTGGTATACGTGCTTATCAATTCCTTAATAGCAGTAAGTAAAACAACTGGATCTTGATCTTGTATTTTAAACCCTGATTTTCTCGATTTATCGGTCAACTTTTCCTTCTCTTTCGTCGGATTGTGAGAACCAGCCTCTTTGGAAGCATCTGAGGGACGACTATTTTCTTTACTGGAAGTATCTGAGGAATTGTTATTAGAAGAATCAAGGAAACGTTTATTCTCTCTAGTTGTAGAATTAGTGGTTTCTTTATGCGATCCTGAACGTCGTTTACGATCTTTATTTTCAGATGTCTTAGGATACTTTATCTCGTGAAGTTTTATTTTGTTTTCTCCGCTAACACGCTGCTGATCATTATTTTTCATTTTTATTGTCATTTCTACAGGCTTTCCTTTACTGTCCGCAATCTTCTCAGTTCTCTCTGACGCTTTCACATTCGCGGAATGTCTTTTCGCATTTTGATCGGATTGTTTCTTGAAATTTCTCGAAGAAGACTCTTTACCGTCTGTGACCTTTATATCAGATTCTGCAGTTGGAACTGTTATCATAAAATGTTCTTTCTGTCGCATAACGTTATCTCTCTCATCTTGTTCTGAGAAATGAAGTAACGGAGATGAAGTAGCATGCCTAGTAGTTACATGGCAATCCAGTTGCTGAGATGTCTTCTGAAATGGCTTTTTCGATTCTTTTGGTATTAATTCCAATTCTTCCAAGAAGGAATCATCCATCTTGAATATCCGTATGTAGACGTACGTAAATATCTGGCTTGTCTACAATAGACACATTACAGCAACTGTAAGAAAAAAACATACAAAATTATTAATAACTCATTTTGATATTTCTTGACATTTTTAATCTCTTTGCACAATTTGACGTATCAACAACAACAAAAATTTGTACTGTTATATATTACATTACACGATAAATCATGACAATAAATTATTAATGTTACAGAATTATTAATACTACAGATAACAGGTATATATAAATTTACGACGCACAATAGCAGCAGTCATTAGAACAGGTATTAAATGTAATAAATAGCGCACTAACCTTGTCGTGATTCGTGATCACCAACGCGACTTTACGCTATATAACCCAAAACCAAGGGTGAAGGCGCCTACGCTCCTAACCAGAGGAGCCTAACCTCAAAGAAAAACCAACGCGACTTATCAGATGGAAAGGAAACGTATCGTGACGTATCGGTTGTAGTCAGGTTGATCGTTGATCAGCTGATCACGGAGCGAGCGACAAACGACAAATGCCGAGCTTATAGCCATGTTGCCCACTGCACGTGAGTGCACGTGCACGCCGCGGGCCGGGTTTTTCGCGCAGCGCGACGCGCGACGGTGAAGCAGCGACTCCAGTGCAGAGGTGCCAATTGCCAATAGTGCTGTTTGCCCGCTGCCTGCGCGCCTGGTGGGGACACGCACACAGCTGACGGAGCCGTGTACATACATACATAAACATCGTGTTCTCCCGTTCGAATGCTCTCAAACCGACAGATATAAACTCAGGTTCTCCGCATTTCGAGAAAACAAGATAATTCGGCCAACTGTAATGTGATAATTCTGAAATTTATCCGTAACTAATTTTATAAAATCGTGAAAAAATAGTTTTGAGAATTATTTAAATACACAGCGACGCGCGAATGTAACGTTGGATATTAACATTATTTCATTAGTTACTTGCACCTATATTAAATAGTATTGAAATAGCAGAGTAACTATAATATATAGGGTGTTTCAGACTGACAGACCTGCCATGCCACTCATTAATAGTATAATATCGACAAATTTGTTTTAACTTAAGATAATTTAAGTAAGTTGTTTTATTAATTAATTTTAGATATGAGAGAATAGGGAGCCAAAAACGATACGAGCTAAACACAAAATGTTACATTAACAATCGTTGGCCCACTATTTCAGGATGCGTTTTGCGAACTGCGGCCTATGTAGACCGGGCTTTAAATGAACAATGAACTAGGTCTTCCATTAAATTTGAATGGGCAACGAAGGCAACCGAAGGTCAATGGTCAATACCTGTGGAAATTTCCAATTCACAATTTAACAAACCTATTGCTTAATATATTGCGGCGATGTGTCAGTTCAGTATATCAACATGATAAGCCGGATTTAGACCGATTCAGACGCATTTGCTGAGCCTATAAGTACTTCAGTTACAAACGGCGAGATAGATAAGAGTATCAGTTGTGACTGCTACTGTGCCACCCAACCCAGCAACATGAACAACGTTTTCGTGCTAATTTTGAGCGCGTTGTTCCTCGTATTACCGCACGAAAGTACAAGTGGATATTTGAATGTATATCCAAAATTGAAGCAGTATGAAATCGCCGATGAGGAGGATGTTGGCGTGCCGCTTTTCTTGACGCCTTTGATAGAAAATGGAAAGATCGACGAGGCACGAGCGAAGGCCGTCGTCCAACACAAAGAGATGGGCGATGTCAGCAGTTATTCGGGCTATCTCACAGTTAATAAACAGTACAATTCTAATCTTTTCTTCTGGTTCTTCCCAGCCATGGTAAGTAATGATTCGCAATCCTGGCACATAAAGTAACCTAACCTAACCTATACAGCCAAGTCTGTTGAAAATGGATTTTTACAAAGTGTCTGCTACACAAATTTTGTCGAAAGTTAATAGATTTCATACAGTATCTGGCATATATAATATTGTTGGCCAAATACTGGCAGAAATATACCAAAGTTTATCAAAATATGATAGTAGATTGATGGCAGAATCGTGCAGATTTTGGTAGACTTGCTATACAGCTTGCTTGATGCAAATCAGCAGAATATAAGTGTAGGGTGAAAATAGTGCAGAATTTGCGTTCGATGGATTCTGCTTGGTTTCTGCCGCCAATCTGCTAAGTTATATTAACAAATTTTGTCGGAAAAACTCGAGTTTAATGTGGACACAATTCATATCGATTTGCTAACATACTGTAGTTATACTTACTGGGATAGCTGTCATGAGAAATTTTCTGAACAGCTGATCATATATGACAAGTTTTTATATTTATTTAAATTTTATTTACATGTAATCTTTTAAAGCACATTTTTTTAATGAATACTCATGATTTATATAATTTTTGCGGCATTAAAAATTCTATGGATTATTTTGAAGGAAACATATATCAACTTGTATATTACTCCATTATAAATTAAGTTTATTTGCAATTAAGATTAAAATTATTAAACAATCATTATTTGTGTGCCATAGCACAATCCAAAGACCGCACCAGTAATATTATGGCTGCAAGGTGGCCCAGGAGCAACTTCTATGTTTGGCCTTTTTACGGAAAACGGCCCATTTATAGTGACTGCCAATAAAACTCTAACAATGCGAAAGTACTCATGGAATATAGCGCACAACTTGATATACATTGATAACCCAGTTGGCACTGGCTATAGTTTTACTGATGATGATAAGGGATACGTTAAAAACGAAACACAAGTAGGAAGAGACATTCATACGGCTCTAGTGCAATTCTTTCTGTTATTCCCAGAATTACAAAATAATGATTTCTTTGTCACTGGTGAATCATATGCTGGGAAATACGTGCCGGCAGTATCTCATGCCATTAAAGATTATAATATCAAGGCGGAGACAAAAATTAACTTAAAAGGCCTAGCCATTGGTAACGGATTGTGTGATCCAGAGAACCAACTCCTGTATGGCGATTATTTGTACCAACTCGGGCTGATAGATGAAAATGGAAAAACTCAATTCCAAGTGTATGAGAAAAAGGGTCGCGAATTTATTAAACAGAAGAAATATCTCGAGGCATTTGAAATATTTGATACACTACTTAATGGCGATTTAAATGGCACGCCATCCCTATTTCGCAATCTAACTGGTTTCGACTATTATTTCAACTATTTGTTTGTGAAAGATGGCAATGACTCCGATTGGATGTCCGAATGGATCCAGAGAGCTGACGTCAGACGAGCTATACATGTGGGCAATAGTACTTTTAACGTTGAAACCCGTATCGTCGAGGAACATTTGAAAGAAGACGTCATGCAGTCCATAGTATTTTTCCTGACAGATCTTCTACAGCACTATAGAGTGCTCATCTACAACGGACAATTGGATATTATCGTGGCGTATCCACTCACGGAAAATTACTTAAAAAATTTGAAGTGGCCCGGAGCAGACAAATATGCGAAAGCACCGAGAAAAATATGGATGGTTGGAGACAAACTAGCGGGTTACACAAAAACCGTCGATAATTTAACAGAGGTTCTTGTACGAAATGCAGGTCATATGGTTCCTTCGGATCAGCCAAAATGGGCATTAGACCTCATCACACGTTTTACGCATAATAAAAAGTTCTAAATAATTATGCGGATTATTACACTGAATATGTGATAAAAGTTTTGGATTTTTTAACTTCAGAATTGCCATTATGTAATATAAACACTTAGTAATACAAGGCGGTGTGCCAACAATACTTAAGATACTCTGAGAAACATAGTCATGACAAAGAATGAACATAATAATAGTGATATAATAATTTTGTAATAGAAAAAATAATAAATTTATTAATAAGTGAAGATACCTATAAATTTCCCTATTAATTTACATTGTATACAAGCCATTGAAAATATGTACATTTATAATATATAATTGTATATTTTCTTGAAATATTAATAAATATTAATATTCCAGATATTTCATAATAAATGCGATTCTTAATCACGAAAAAAGATTCACACCTCGCAACGTAATTATATATATGTCCACTTAAATTATATATATATATATATATATATATATATATATATATATATATATATATA